ATTGAGGCTGCCTAGCTCGCTCCGTCCCTCGCTCAGGTGTTGGCGCAGGCGCGGAAGAGGAAGAAGAAGAGAAGGCGTTGACGAGAAGAGCAGGGGGCGGGGCTGTGTTTGAGAGTGAATTCCGACCCGGAAGCGCGGTGCGCTGAGCCGGAATCTGAGGAGTGTCGCCGTTTCCGCCGTTTTTCTCTCTGGTCAGCAGCCATGGCAGCGGTCTCCTCGGGGCCGGTGGCGAGGCTGCGGCGCCTTTGCTGCCGCTACCAGGAGTACGTGAAGCGGCACCCGGCGGCCACGGCCCAGCTGGAGAGCACCGTGCGCGGCCTCTCCTACCTGCTGCCAGGTACTCGTTTAGTTCCGTATGCCGCCTTTCTCCCGGGAAGGGACTCGAGGCGGATCACGGACGAAGTACCTCGTTTTATTCTCTCCACTGCAAAAGCCCTTGTGGGAAGCATGGCTGTTTGGTTTTGGGCTCCCCTCCTTTCTCTCATTTATTATTTTATTTATTTTGTATGTCACCTTTCTCCAAAAAAGGGACCCAAGGCGGCTCACAAAAGAAATAATATTATCTTATCCACTGCAAAAGTTCTTGTGGGGCATTGTTATTACCCTGGCTGCTTTGTTTTTGCGTGCCCCCCCCTTATTTAATTTAATTTAATTTTGTATGCCGCCTTTCTCACGGGAAGGGACCCAAGGTGGCTCACAGATGAAGTAGTTTTATTTTGTCCACTTGTGGGACATGGTTGTTACCCTGGCTGTTTTGTTTTTGGCAACCCTCCCTCCCTCATTTTATTTTATTTTATATGCCACTTTTCTCCCAGGAAGGCAACTCACAAATAAAACAATTTTATTCTCTCCACTGCAAAAGTTATTATGTGGCATAGTTATTTACATGGCTGTTTTGTTTTTGGCTTCCCTCTCTCCTTGTTTAGTAATTTTATTAATTTATTTATTTTGTATGCTGCCTTTCTCCTGGAAAGGGACCCAAAACTCAGAGGAAATAATTTTGTTCTCTCCACTGCAAAAGCTTTGGTGACAAGCATGGTTATTACCTTTGCTATTTTATTTTTCATAGCCCCCCTCACTTCTTATTAATTTAATTTAATTGTTTATGCCCTCTTTCTCCCAGAAAGGGACCAAAGGCAGCTCACAGATAAAATAGTTTTATTCTCTCCACTGCAGAAGCTTTGGTGGGAAGCATAGTTATTACCTTTGCTATTTTATTTTTGGCTGCCCCCTCCTTCTTTCCTGTCATGCTTCCTAGCTTTGTAGCAGACAGAAACTATGGATCTGAACAGACTGCCAGAAATAAT